CATCAAACAAACAAATACAAGTGCAAATTAAACTTAGTAAAATGCAAACTTGCTTTTGCGAGTTGGTATGCATTTGTTACTCTTTTATCCCAACAAAATTAGATAAACAAACATTTATGTTACCGGTAATGATTATATGAGTTCGAAATCGTAGAATAGGGGAGTGAGTAATCCATGGACTCATCATGTATAAACTCACCGCGTACAAACTCGTAGAATAAATTTTTATTCTTCTGTTAGAATGATGAATAGCAGTAATTCAATTCGACATTCCTCTGGAGTATTACAATATTTTATCTTTACTATGGAAGTACGTAGTGTAGGAGTAAGTAAAATCATAAGCGTGCACAGCAATATCAAAATTATAATTAGCGATATCTAACAGAAACACTGAATCTTCTTTGGTAGGAAAAATATGACGAAGCATTAATAAAGTATTGAAGGCTTTTACGGCCGGAGTCACTATTATTCATGACTTCCTGGCTGATGGGCCGTGGTCCAATTGGCTTTGAACTGCCAAACGTTTCGCTCACGACTGCGGTGGGCATCCTCAGTGGCGAGGTCTCGGGCGAAGTGTCCGGGACGTTGGCTGACTGACGACTGACGATGGCTGACGGTGGCTGACTGGCGTCAGTCGCCAGTCAGCCACCGTCCCGGACACTTCGCCCGACACCTCGCCACTGAGGATGCCCACCGAAGTCGTGGGCGAAACGTTGAAACATTAATAGTTCTTTATGGTACTGTAGGGTAAGAGCGATTGTATTCAGGTTTGAAAAATATTAGCTTCAGAGATGACAAAGAAACCGAGTTTAATTTTCTAAAATTGTTTTGTTGTCTGAAAGCTAAAAGTCAAATCATTCGTCAAGTTATATAGGTTCCCTTGTCAACTCACGTTCCTTGTGAACGCGCGAAAGGAGAAATTACTTCAGATTTCTTTACTCGTGATGCAATACAATCGACAATGCTACAACCTTTTGGTTTACGAACGTATGGAGAATTGAGTAATGAGCAATAAACAGATTGTAAGATTATTCACTCAGCTTATTGCTCCTGATTCAAAAAATGACACCAGTGGCAGCTAAAGAATACTTGAACACCACGATGTGGAATGGGATAATGCTAAAATTTTTGATAAAGAGGATAATTATAAAAAATTCTTTTGATAGGAAATGTTATATACTTTTAATACTAGTAATAAAAGTATACAGACCATATACAATCAGATATTCGCAAAATTCATAAAAGTTATAATATTCTTTAGAAGTAATAAATTTCCACTGAGATCCTATTTTAACTCTTTAATTAACGTTTAATGTGTTCCTTCCTTTAGGTTGGCACAGATTCTGAAATGTAATAGGTTCGTAATTCCACTAAATAGATCGACACTAAGGAGATTAGGAGATCACATGTCCTACCTTGGTACCTTCACCATTGCGGAATATGAAGTCAGCCCCTTGCCACATCATTTAGGCTACCTGCATTACAATTTGTCTAATTGCCAGAAATCCATCTTCCCAATTTTATATTATATTTATTCTTATATTCATATTTCGCGAAGGAACGTGAGGTAAATACACTAAAGGGAGAAAAAACTAGCACATCTGCCTGATATCGTGTAAGGCCCTATATATATATATATA